CTATTTAGGTAGTCGAAATCAAACTATTAGATCGATTTTATGGGAATTTTTCAAACGTACCAAATGAAAAATCTATACTGCCTTTTTCAGTGTTGTGTGAATGTTAATTGTTGTATTTCCCATTGTGTTTCCTTTTATGTCATTTACCTTTAACCGTTGCCTGTATTGTTTGTGTAAAAAAAAGTTGCTAAGAAGGACACCTTAGCGTGAAAAGTATGTTCCTGTCCGATCCTTTTTGTATAGTCACCCAATAATGTTTTCAATGGGAAGATTAGGAAATTGTCATGAATTTAACGGAAGTGTAGGAGTTAATTGTTTTTACATATTCAACCAATTGTCTGGCTAATTAATACAAAGAAGGATGTAGGATATGTAACGAAAGTCTATCAAATAACTATATGATATGATCCAAAATACTTGCTCAAGGAAAACGGATTTCTTAATATTGTTCTGAAGCTATTTTCTTGTGGCATTTTAAATTAATTACTATTTAACTGGGAATAAGCCACAATTAAAGATAAAAATACGTTTATTGACGTTTCAATTTCCACTTCGGAAACTTATTTTGAGAACGATTTCCGAAGTGGAAATTGAAACGTCAATAAACGTATTTTTATCTTTAATTGTGACTTATTCCCAGTTAAATAGAAAACGGATTTCAGGAAGAAAAAAAACGTCTAACAAAGATTTTAACAAAAAATGATTATCTCTTGTGATTTATAAACAAGGAATATCATAAAAGTAAAGAAAGGAAACAAAAAGGGAGATCGCTACAGATGAAGAGTTTAAAACTAGTATGGTTGGTTCAGCGGATTCAAAAGTCGCTGTAATTGGCAAAGCATTGCAAAAACCGGAATGGTAGTAAATTATGATAAAACATTAAATGGTTAGAGATATACCAATAAAAGTAGATATACCAACCAAAACATATTCAATGTAAATGAGACTGGCCTGTTCTGGAATAACGTCTAAAAGAACTTTTCTCGCCAGTGAATAGAAACCCTCTCTCGGTTTTAAGGCCGCCAAAGATTAATTGACAGTGACGTTTGGCGCGAATGTAGTTGGTGATTATAAGTTAAAACCCCTATTAGTTTATCGCTCAGAAAATCCAACAGCATTAAAAATAAAATCCACATGAAAAATGAAATTGCTGTAGTTGGCTGTATACCATGGAATCACAAAAGTTTTATTTAAAAATCCTTTATAAAAGATTTATTATAATTAAAAATACCCTTTTGAGCTACATCACAGAACGTTTTTCAGTGGTGGTCTTTTTAGTCTAAAAACGTTGTGATGTAGCCCGAAAGCTAGATATAATTTCTATCAATTGTTTTTAAATAAAACTTGCTTTAAAAATAAATCTTAATCTGCCTTGCCTATGATTTGGAACTACTAATAGTAAAGCTTGGATGACATATTTCCTCTTTGAAGACTGGTTTAAGTTATCATTTTATACCTGATGTAGAACGTGAATGTCAATTTAAACAAATTATATTTAAAGTGATGCTTATGCTACAACATAGACAACGTACCAAGTCATCCTACAACTTTAATTAGCGTGACCCAAATGTCAAAAATTTTAATGTTTGTCACCTAATACGATCAGCTTACTTCTACCGATGGATCAGGGAGTAATTAAAACATTAAACGCTTATTATACTTGACGATAATTTCCACATCTGTATGAAGCTATGAGAAAAAACAACAAGCACAATGAACCAACAGGCATACGCATTTCCATTGTCCACTACACCACCCAAGTTTTACAATAACAATGGGAAAGAACAGATAGCATTATTCTGCAAGTGCGTCAGTACCTCTCGCAAAATGTGGAATTAACGTGTTAATGCTTTTCTTTTTTGTAAATATGCACTACTGTTAAGATAAAAAAAATAGTGTAGAAAGTAAACATGTTCAAAAAAAGGTGTCAAATAAAGCTTTTGGAACAATATTTATATAGTTTTAATATATCAGTTATCTGCATAAGAAAGTACTCGATAAGGTACTCAAAACAATAAAGTTAAAATTAGAAATTGTCATTGATCTTAAAAATAGAACAAATTTAGGTAAATATACATTTAAAATAAAATGTTATCATTGTAGGTGGTTTATGAAAATTTATTTTCATAAATTTTCTTATCTGTCATAAGAAGTGACTAACACATTTCTGATTTTTCAAGTACTTAATGTTTATAGTAATTTATGTAAATTTAGTTAATATATAGTTCATTGTTTTATAAACAAAATACAATAATTGATCAAAAAGGTCTTATCTGTATTGCGATTCAAAGTGTAATCTTTTACCTTGTCCATAAATACTTTATGTTTCATATGCGCTAATGTTATAAGTACTGAATTATCCCTCGTAGAAAAAAATACCAGTTCCAATATTTTATGAATTGTATCGTTTTATTTAAAATTCTTCTAGTTCATAATAGTCTTAGCTTGGATTGCGCATGATAGTGTAAAAGATACAGGTATGACATTCTTACCGTATCAAAGTTATATTTCAGCAAATATCAGCATATCTCTATCGTGCCTATACAAAGAACTGTTGAGAAAGAAAACTAATGAAACAACATGCAGGTGGATGACTCAAATGCTTCAGTGCGGACGCGCATATCCACTAAAATGCATGAAGAAGCTAAATACACAAAGGCAGTAAAGGAATGACCTCAAGGGATGACTAGTACCACCAATACTGTGTAATTTTATTGATAATCTGATCTACGGTCTTAGAATTCAGGGAATATGGGTACAAGGTATTGCAGACGATATATTGATCATTATAAAGGGAAAATTTCCTGGTACTATATTCTGGAGATTGAAGCCAAAAGTGAGTATATAGCATTGTACACATAAGTAGTACAACCAACCGTAACATGAGGAAAGACCAGTACTACGGTGGATAAAAAACGGCAATATAGACGTGTATAACCAGTGTTATCATTTTAAACAGACAGCATCACTAGAGGCTATTAATGGTATCCCGTGCTATAATTACACATTTTGGCGGTATGCCATCTAAAAAAACTGAGTTTTAACCTAACAACCCACACAGAAACCCAATCATTTATTGAAAAGTCACACAAAAATCACTGAAAGCATAATTCTTTCAGAAGCCAAGGAAACCCACCTTTCAGATGAACTAAAATATGGTGATATCAGAACTTCTATACACTGAAAAAATTAGTACGATCGCACCCTTTAGGAAACGCCTACATTAACAAAGATTTTATTATAAAATACATTAACGAAGAAAAAATATGGTTAAATGATGGGTCAAAAGCCGTACATGCAACTAGAATAATGACCCTGGACGTGGAAATCGAAATGTCAAAATAGACGAATTTTTAACTGAAATTGTGGTTGATTCCCATTAAAGATAATAAACAAGTATATTTAAATTACAAATATATTAAGTTTCAATTAGCCGGCCAATCACAAACAGTTTTATTAACTGCGTTGTCATTGGCCTCCCGGCGGAAGATCGCTGATAAACTGCAAACACAAAGGGTATAAAAAGGCAACACATCTTTCGATTGGGATCTGGTCGTCTACACCACTAGTCCCTGCTAGACCTTGTTGGTTGAGTGCCTTTACGACGTTTTGCGTTTTATTAATACCTGAGTGAACATTTCTTCAATCTAAGAAGACGTCGAAGCGAAAACGATTCGAAAGCTCTTTAGTGCTTGAGTGAATACAAAGCCGTATGGCTACTTCTTCTTCTTAGGGCGCCTGTCCGTTCCGAACGTTGGCGATCATTCTGGCTAGGATGACTTTGTTGGTTGCTATACGAAACAGCTGTGTTGAGGTCTTTCTATACCATGCTCTCAGGTTAGCATGCCAGGATATTCTTCTTCGTCCTGGGGCCCTTTTTCCTTTAATGGCACGATACCATTCAAACCACAAGAGGTACAAGAACCGGCGATTGTTGACTGACGACCTGCCTTTTGTCGAGGTAAAGAAAAGTCTGGCAACGGACTTATAATTACCCCGCAGACGCTAGCTAACAGCTTGGAGAGAATGTTCCCTGGCCAGAAAAACACGATCATTGAAATAGGAAAAGACTGGTTGTCTTAAAGATATTTCTGATTATGTCAAACTGACACTGCGTTCCACTAGTCCACTGACGGTCTGGAGTAAGTAAAAGCCCCAGGTGGGCTTGGAATTACTCCTCACTCGGTGGCCGAGCTGCGGTAACACTTCGTCGCCAAAAACCTTTCGATAGAAATAGTAACAGTCCTTACGGGACTTAGGATTAGTTCTCGAGGGGTGGCGGTACGGAGTGAAGGGCCGTCGAAGAGTCAACACTGTCGACGTTCCGGTACCTCCCGAGGAGTGTGAACGTGGCCACACGACGATTTTGTGAGACTCTAAGCATCCACTGTGCCCAGAACGCTAAACAAATATTTATGTAAGACAAATTCAGGTAAGAGATAAACCTCGAACTGTTAAAGTATTTTGGTTGCCGGTGGCACCTTGCCGACCACACCGTCCCCGGTGAACTTCTCGCCAAGTGGAAGCCTCGATCACATAAACTCCCGAACACGAGGATGGAGTCAAAACATCTTCGATACTCCTCCGGAACGGCGGTCGGAAATCATCCAGAATCTCCGAATACCTCGGAGGATGGTCCGACCGTACGACACATAAGTTTAGGGATTACTGCTGCTTTAGTCCGTTCAGATATTCCTGTTTTGTTGTGTAAGGTATGTTATTTTGTTGTGTAAGGTATGATGATGATGTACATGGTAATGCATTCAAACAATATTATCATGATACAAATCAGATCTCTTGGCTGAAGGCAGAATTCAGTGAGTTCATTGTTTCCCGTTAGTAAATATCTGTAAGTTTTACTCAATTAAGATTCGTATTTTGTACAAAATTGTGAAATGTACAGAAATCTCTATAATAAATAAATCTTAATAACACTGAACCTGTCATTGACTGTTCTCTTTTTGAATCTAAAAGACAATATAAAATTAAGCAATACTCACCCTTTACACGCTTTTAGAGGTACAGGCGGACATACACGAGACTTCAAGCAATTAAAATCTAGATTAGAAGTAGCAGACGAAGCCTGTAGGGCCCAGAAGCACTTTTCTAATTCGCAAATATCCTGTTCCTCCAAGTGGGTTACTCCAGCTAAAGTTTGATAAAAAGTGGGCGTTTCTAGTTCTGAGCTCAGTGATACGCATGGATTTGACAAAAGCCTAAAAGTAAGTATTCAATTAGATTTATTATCAATTATGTATTAAACAGTTTAATTTATAGTATTTTTCAATGCAAAGGTAAATTCATGAATAATTTGCAGAAAATTATTCTTAAAAAGTGCAGTAATAAGAAACATATTGCCTGATATCTCAATACAAACAAATGTTTGAAAACTCTTTGCATGTATACAAAATAAAGTAAGAAGAAATTTCCACAAGGAATCTACGTTCCTGTAGTTAGCTGTATACTATATATTAAAATTTTTATTAAAAATCCTTTATAAAAGGTATATATTTAAAAACCCAATAAGGCTATGTTATACAAAACGTTTTCGGAATCCATATTCCATCATCAGTGTCTAGGTATACATGAATGTAGCCACTAAATATGTGGGTAAAAACCCGTTAAAAATGATATGATTACAATTAGTTTACATTATTTGTTATATATGAATACAATGATTATAAGTACACATGATTACCCCAACGCAAAGATATATGCCTCTGGAGAAGGAATCGAACAGGTCAGGCAATTCAAATACTTGGGTTGTTTGCTGAACAAGGGTTGGGACCCCGAGAATGAAATAAAGAGCAGAGTTGAACAAGCCAGAAATGCTTTTTGAGGCTTCGTAAGTTTCTGACTGATCGCAAATTGGACTTCAACCTCCGATACAAGATGCTTAAGTGTTACGTGAGGCATGTTCGCCTGTACGGAGTGGAAGTATGGACGTTAAAGGCCAGTTCCATGAACAAACTTGAAGTGTTTGAAATGTGGTGCCTGAGTCGAATTCTTAGAATATCATGGACGGACAGGGTCAGAAATGAGGAAGAACTCAGAAGAGCGGGCTTACAGGATAGGGAACTTTTTAGTTATGTACTGGGACGTAAAAAAATGTCATGGCTGCGCAATATTCGACAATGGACAGGAATCCACAGCTATGAAATGCTTCGCAATGCTGCTAAAAACAGAATTATTTAATCCTGAATATTTAACATCTCACCTGACTAGACGATGTCCGGTGGACGCCTACGCAGAAATGAACGGCATCTTAAGAAGAAGAAGAATTTGTTATTTATTAATAGGATGTTAAAGTTACCGTTAGATTCGGTAACATGGCGACATATGACTCCACGTGAAGTTGCTAGTCCTGACTCAGTAAGCAACTGACTTTATGAAAGCAACTGACTTTATGAAAGCAACTGACTCAGTTGCTTTCATAAAGTCCTCGTAGACACACCGTCTCAGGACTAGCAACTTCACGTGGAGTCATATGTCACCATGTTACTAAATCTAACGGTAATTTTAAAATCCGATTAATAAATAAATAATGTAAACTAATTCTAACCAAATAATTTTAAACGGGTTTTTACCCACATATTTAGTGGCTACATTCATGTATACCTAGATACTGATGATGGAATATGGATTCCGAAAACGTTTTGTATAACATAGCCCGATTGGGTTTTTAAATATATACCTTTTATAAAGGATTTTTAATAAAAATTTTTGAGAAGAAATGGTCCAAGAAGCAATTAATATTCATTAAAACAAAAAAATAGCAAAAACCCAGAATTTGTGTCTTCTTCTAATATGTAAAACTGTGAAATTTACATCAGATAGAAAAATTGAGAAGTAATTGTCTAATATTTTTCACAAATATATCGCCACATCGAATGACGCCAACCATACCGTCATATCGATTAATATAACATAAATTATTTATTGCATAAAAATAGATTTTTTCGTGTAAAAAAACCAAACGATACGTTTTGACAGAAAATATTAACTAAAATTAGAAAAAAGGGCTAATTTCAAACGCTTATATCTCAGTAAATTTTTCACGTATAAACATTTGTGGTCCAAAATTTTAACGGAAATTGCACAACCTTTCTTCGACTCCCTAACGAAGTGTGCTTAGAAAAAAATTATACCAAAAAAAATTAACATTGTTTTTTGGGTTTATTTTGTTGAAGAAAAAAAAAACAATTTTGACTTTAAAAGGTGTCATTTCGATCTTCTTCTTCGCGTGCCAGATCAGAATTATCCGATGTTGGCGATCACCATTGCGAAGGCTTCTCGATCTTCTGCAGTATGGAATAATTGTCCCGCATTTTATATCCGAGTCCATTCACAAATGTTCATCAACCAAGAAACCCGTTTGCTTCCTATACTTCTACGGCCCTCTAAACACAAAAAATTTGGTTTTGTTTAAGTTTATTTTAATACCCATATCCTCTCCTACCTAGTGAATACGATCAAGCAGAATTTGGAGACCTTCTGACATAATTACTGCATCGTCTGCATATATAATCACATTAAGTAGTTCCCCGTTGATTTTTATTCCATATGGCTGTCTCTTAAGTGCCTTTTTAAATAACTGGTCCGCGTAAACATTAAACAATGTTGGCGACAAAATGTAACCTTGTCTGACTCCTCGTTGTATGGAGATTTCATCGGTGTAGTTATCGCCAATTTTTACGATAGGAGTTTGACTCCAGTACAAATTTTTAATGACACGAATATTCTTGTCATCTATTCCGATATTTTAAGTATTTGCATTAATTTTACATGCTGTACTTTATCGAATGCCTTTTCGAAGTCCACGAAACATGCAAATACATCTTTTCTTTGGTCACGGCATTTTTGTAATAGTATGTTAAGCGCAAAAAGTGCCTCCCTGGTTCCCATAGCATTTCTAAAACCAAATTGGGTATCTTCGAGATCTTCTTCGCATTTGCGTCGAATTCTGTCGTGAAGTATTCCTAGGAAAATTTTAAGATTGTGGCTCGTTAGGCTAATTAATCGATACTCTGAGCATTTTCTCGCATTGTGTTTTTAAGGTATTGAGACAAAGATGGATTTGAGCCAATCTGTGGAAATCACTCCGGTGTTGTATATTGAGTTAAAAAGTGTTCTACCTCGTATTTCATAACTTCTGAGCCGTCAGTACAGTTTTGGTAGAATTCGGTAATATTATTCCTGTCATCTTCAAACAACTCTGATATATACAGCTGCCATTCTTTTCTTATTTCGTGCCCATTTACAATAATTTTGTTATTGTTGTCAACGAGTACAGAGAGAACACGTTTTTTTAAATATGTTACTCATTTCTTTTAGTTTTTTGTGCACATTAAGTAAGTCATTACTAGATATTACATCCTCCATTTCGTCGCACTTTCCTCTCATCCATGTTTCTTTTGGCTAATTTGATCTTCTTTTTTATTCTTCTCTGCAGGTGTCTATATTCTGTTTCATTAGATTTTATCAGTCGACGTTGTTACATTAATTTGAAGATTTCGTTTGTCGTCCATTTATTTTTCTTGATTAAGTTTTTCTATAATCATTGTTTGTAAAGATTTCGTTAACTTGATTTTAAATTTACTCCATAGTTCTTCTGGATCTTCTAGTTGTTCTCCGATGTTTCTTATTCTATTGTTAAATTCTTTTTTAACGTTATGATTTATGTTTATACCGTCAAAGTTAAGTACATTGGTTTTTGGTTTTTGTCGCTGAATTCGTTTTAACCTTAATTTAATATCTGCTACATGTGGTTGATGATCAGATCCAATATCTGCCCCAGGAAATGTAGTGACTTTTTGACGTCATTTCGGAAACGCTCATTTACAAGTATATTGTCTATTTGATTTCTTGAGAACTCAGGGTTATTGCTATCATCAAATAGGGCTTTCCAAGTGTGTAGTCGTCGCTTGGGTAGTTTACACCAGGTGTTTGGAATGATCATATCGTTTTCTTTACAATATTCATACAATTGCTGTGCTCGATCGTTAGGTTGTCCTAAACCATAAAGATCGACAGTCTGACCTCGTCGACCTTCCCCATTTTTTGCATTGAAGTCGCCTATAATATATAAAATTTCGTGTTTATTAAGTTTCTGGTTTCTTGGATCTGATCATACAACTTCTCGACTTCATCGTCATATTTTCTATCTGCAGTCGGGGCATAGATTTGAAGTATGTTAATGTTAAACGGTTGAGTATTTATTTGAAGTAATATTATTCCATCCGAGACTGGTACGAAATTGGTCACATATTTACTCAGTTCTGATGTTACTAATATATCTACCCCATTTTTTCGATATCGTCATTTCGATAGAAAATTTAATTCTCTACAAAAAATCTTGTTCAAAATATTTCCTAAAAATGTATAGTTTTTGAGTTATACTCAAGACCGAAAAGGAGACAAATTTACCAGATCTCAAAAACTAAGGCTCTATTTCGTAGTACTTTTCGATTTTTTATTTTTAGATGTCAATTGACTATAGGAAACAATAAAATTCCTTGAACGCCTTAGTTCCTTTTAGCCATGGCATAGTCAATAGCCAAAAGACACAACTCATTTTTCGGAATACGAAGAATCTTAACAATATGTAGGGCAACAAAAGAATAAAAAGTTTTCCTGGTATAAGAGAATCTGACAAGTAATCTAAACGTTCCAAATACTGTAACTGTTTATCTCGAACATAGGTAATTAAAAATCTATTGTTGTATTGGATGTACCCGCTTCCGAGAACTAATAAAATGTTTAAATTTAATAAATACCTCATTTACATTTTTTTAACGTATGATAATATTACTTAGAACACAAACAGTACAAAGCTTTAAATTGTAGAAATTCATTAAAGAACGTAAGTTCTTTTGAAAATTTGAAAATAAATGAATTTAGTTAAATACGAGGGGGGTCCGATAAGTACTTAGCCTACAAAAGAAAAACGAAAATTTTGTGAAAGTGACGATTTATTTCTCAACATTATCTCCTTTTAGCTCGATACACTTGACTCAACTATGCTCAAACTTGTTTAAGCCGTCTGAAAGATACTTTTTGTCGAGGTCTGCAAAGAAGGCCTCTGTGGATGGCGCCTCATTCCACTTAAGTTTCTGCCCCGCGAATAACTATTCTAAGTTTGGAAATATAAAGAAGTCGCACGGGGCCAAATCTGGAGAATACGGTGGATGGCGCGTTGTCACTTTCTTCTTCTCCAAATGGGACCGTTTAACTGAAATTTGGCAAAGAATCAGCCCAATAATTCGCATAGTAGAATTCTGTGACCGTTTTGCCCTTCTCCAGGTAGTCGATTTAGATCACACCTGAATCCCAGAAAACGGTGGCCATCACCTTTCCGTCTGACAGAACAGTCTTCGCCTTCTTTGGAGCACGTTCGAAGGGTGAAATCCACTGTTAAAACTGTTCTTTGGTCTCTGATGTATACCAGTGGATTCACGTCTTGTCGATGGTCACGAAACGGCGCGGAAACTTCTTCGGATTGCGCTTAAGCACTTCTCTGAAGTGGTCTCACTTCAGAGAAGTGAGTGCCCAAAATTGCATACAGGATTTCTACTGTCACAGGTATCTCGCACAGCTTAACTTGGCGTTACACCAACCGACGTTAAACCAATTTTTGACGGTCGCCATCAAAGGAGAAGAATCACAGAATATTTCCTTTCCAAAAACAAGAATCGAATCACCGACCGATATTACTCTTCCATTTTTCTAAAATCCTTGCACAATCTTCAACACTCGGTTAAAACAAAACTACGACTCCGATCTTGTTGAAATTTTGATATTATGCGTCTACGAGAATGTACTAGGCAGTAGTAAATTTCTCTTGCGATAGTGGCTTCATTGGGCGGTGAGGCTGTAACGATTTCGCCGAGAGCGCTTACCAACATCTGACTAGCACCTTGAATTGTATCAAAACCCACCGTCCTTTCCCGCAACAGCGATCGAGAATTGATGGATTGCTTCCATTCTGCGTATGTGTCGAGTATTAATCGACCGACTTCGGTTCACCTCTCGCCTAGGCTGAGTTTGATCAGTAGTTCCAACGGTTTTTGGGCATTGACCAAATATCGTCGTTTGCCTGGCCCATCCGAGCGCCCGCGCCGCTAATATTTATTTTTCACCGGTATCAACGTCGGTCTACACCCCCATTTTAGTTACAAGGATTTGTCTTTTTATTTATATTTATATATTGTATAGAGGTAAATTTTATTTTTGTTATTTATTTGATTATATTTGTATTTAGATTAAACTTGCGTTTAAGTGAGTCTGGTGTCTAATAGAGCTTCCCGTTACAAGGTACAAAACTTATCGAATCGCCCTCGTAATTTAAATTAACATTCATACAATTCCACGTTAAAATAATATTTGAAAAATATACTTCATTCTCTTTATAACATTTTTGCTTTCGACTGCACTTCGCAAAAAGTATTACTCACTGTTTCGTTTAAAGCGCTTTCAGCAATGAACGTGTCCCTTCATTTTTGGCATTCGACTGGCAGAATTTTTCAAGGTCTTGATGGTATACAACAATTGTACCTTTTGCAGTTAAATGGAACACCGCAATATACTATTTTACAAAATACGACTCAGGATGATTTATTTAATTACATAGATTATCAAAAAGCAATAAATTCAGATTTTGGGAGTGATTCTTATGCAGAAGACAATCTTCCTATTTCCAACTGAACGTCGGATGCATCCAGCACGACTATTACTTCATTATCTAATGATGGCAAGGTTGAATTTCTTGATGTTGATTCAGATGACTCAATGGATGATACAACTTTCCACCCTCAGGTAAGAACAAATCGTATTGTTGACGACGTCGATACTTCTTCAGGCGAAGACAAAATACAAGAGAATCAAGAGAAGACACTAAAGTTTACCAGAGCATTTGGTCCAGCAAAACCAGTCAATATAAATTCACCATTAGATGTGTTTTCTTTGTTCTTGGGCAAAGATATTATAGATACATAATATAATTACACAGTCAAACCTTTATTTCCAGTTTAAACTTTTTAAACCAGTTCTTACAATCATGGGATTTCATAAACTACCTAGTTTGAGCCATTATTGGTAAACAGATATCAACATGCACGTGCCAAGAGTTTCGCAAACTTTTACACAAAGCGATTCTTAAAAATTCTTCGTTTTCTCCATCTAAATAAAGACGAAAATATGAAAATAAATCAAGATAGCCCCAATTTTGACAAACTGTTCAAAGTAAGGCCTTTGATAATAGAACTGCAGCAACACTTTCAAGAGAACTTTTTACAAGTGGAAATGATGCGGTAGATGAAAGTATGGTTGCTTTCAAGGTTGCGAAATTCTCTCAAACGATATATGCCAAAAAAGTCCATAAAAGAGGCTTCAAAGTTTGGGTCGTTGCATGCTACGAAACTGGACACGTGCACAAATTTAGCATACATATATGAAAACAAATCTCAATCACATGCTGAATATGGTTTAGGGGCTAAAACGGTATTAGACATTACAGAGTTTCTTAGAGGCGGAAACTAATGCATTTATTTCGATGATTTTTTCTCGAGTTTTCCTCTTCTTAAGAAAATGTTAATCTATGATTTGTTCTGCTGTGGAACTTTTAGAATAAATCGTAAAGGCTTTCCAACACAAATGAGAAAGAACAAAATAATGAAAATGGGAGAACACGATTATTTCATGTCGAATGATATGTCTGTTGTTAAATGGAAAGATCGGGGGCGCAAATGCGTTCTAGTTGGCAGTACTATGCATACTCCACTTGAGATTACTTTAGTTTTGCAAAGAAAACCGAATTGTGAACAAGAAAGTGTCAAGTGTCCAAAAGCCGTAAGTGATTACAATCGCTACATGGGTGGAGTCGATCTATTCGATCAACTTCATGCTTCTTATCGCAGATGGTATATGAAGATCATTTTCTATTTGATTGTTGCAGCAGTGGTAAATTTCTATATGACCTATAAGATTACAATGAAAATGAGGTCAATTAAATCGAAATCAATGAGTCACCTCTATTTTAGAAGTGTATTGGCCAATGAGCTCATAGGTGATGAGAGGCCAGGACCTAAGGTAACAATAGGCAGAAATAAACTGAAGAAGCTGATGGAAGCAACACATAATGCTGTTGGCGTTGAAAGCACGGTAAAATTAAGCGATGGTGGCAATCACATGCCAGTAAAAGGAACATCAAGACGTTGTGCACTATGTTCAACGAGAGCGAACCCAAAACGTTAAATTATTAAATGCTTAGATTGCCAAGTTGCATTATATATTCAATGTTTTCCATTAGGTATTTCCTAATAAAAATGTTTAATTAATGTTTTTTTCTGTGGTCGATTATGAAACCACAACTAAATATAGCAAAGTCAACATATCTAATCAGGCTGTGGTCTAAATTTCAACCACTTAAAAAAAAACAACATGTGAAAATAAAATGAAAAGACGAATAAAAGTGCCCTAATGGATCATTATTTAATTATAATCTACAAATAATTTGATTATATAACCAAAAAAAATTCTGCTCTATAAAGGGTTCAATTTAATAGTAGTACTTGCAGACCATCTTTTGTAGTAGAAATCTGTAGGGCGGTCTAGAAAATAATGAAAATATGTAGCCAGAGAAAATCTGGAGAAAATAATATTGTGAGGCGATGGGCAAAAGTGGTGGCACACGACCGACAAGAATGGAAGGCAATAGTAAAGAGGTAAAGTTTCCATTGATGATGATGATCTTCATTTTTTGTTGTCAATACTGCATCGTCTGTCTAGTTTTAAATAATTGTTGGTCGCCTTCCATAATGTACTTTTTTTAATTACCTCGCAGATTACCGCATCGGAAATTAAGCTTTTACACTAACATACCATCTATCATTGTGCCTTGTTGTTAATAGAGCAAAAAATAAAGTAATAAATAAAATCAAATAGTTCCGAATATTTTAAAATGAGTTTTTGTGGCTTTAGAAAATTATATGCAATGGAAGATACTAGGGTGACAGCACTAATGTGGATTATAGAAGAAAACGAGAAACGATCTGTCTTTTTATCTATTTTTGTTAGCATCAGTAAATTGGTAAAATATTGGTTTTCTTTTGATTTGATTGAATTTATTTAAGTGCACAAAAAAACGAAGCAAGCATACAATTCTACATAATATCCATGATAATACTCTACATGACTCTATATGAATTATAAATAATACCGAACAATTTACCAATCTTAAGCTCTTCATTAATACACAAAATTGTTTTTATTACTACCTGTAATTGTAGATAAAATATCTTAACTTACCATTTTGATAGTATCGTAGACTCCTTTTTATATGTGATCCACGCCCTAAAGTCTTCGAAGCTAACTTTATCTTGATTACTGAAAAGCGATATGACAGTACGGTCCCCAGATGCGTTACTCGATTTACTATCCGGAGGTAGACCTCCTTCTATTTGTAATGCAGTCTTAAATTCGCTCCTTGTGAGATGGGTGGCGGAATCGTTACAGTAGAGAGTCCATAAGAATCTAAAAATAAAACGATAATAGTCAATGACAAATTATTAAAACAATTTAAGTAGACTATAAAGAGTGCCCAGCACAAGAATAAAGAGACATATCGACAGATCAAACAGGTCACAGTCCAAGGTACACCTTCTATAATATATTACAAAGACAATTATAACTACTTATAGAGTGAGAATCCTTCTCTTAATTATATTTGAACTAAAAGTTCCGTAAAAGTAATCACGAAAGTTTTGGGAAAATTTTTATCAAAATTTTATCAAAAAAATATAGCAGAGTCCTTGTAATATGAAATGTAAATAAAAAATGGTTAAAATTAATTTTAGCACATGTGATATGTCCGGCTTTAACTAAAAGTTACTATAAGTAAAAAATAAATATTTTTAATTATATATTTAATTACTAACCAGCTGCCGCACTATATCTTAGAGCAGAACTATATCATTGTACTATATTTTTCAGTTCAACTATACCATGGCAAATGTAGCGGCCGTAGCTCATAGGCTAGTGTACTTGATTTCTAAGCCAGAGAGCAAGAGTTCGATTCTCTCGGAACCAACAACGACATTTTTATTTCTAAAAATAATACGAGCCGTTACCCTGTTTCGGGGGGTACGTAAAGCCACGAGGTTTTCCTGGAATAGTGTGCATCGACACTAGTTACCTGAACCAGCGTTAAATATGGAGATGGCGCCGAAGAAATCCGAAAGGATCTCTCCGACAAAAATGCCATTCGATATTATTATTAGTACCATGACAAACTTTCATTGGATGTAAAGACATGAAATCGAACCTTCTAACTATAGAAAGATTCATGAAAAAATATCAAATTTGGATTTTAGAAGAGAAATAGTTCGAACATATTTAGCATGGTATAGGACGGCTTCTAAATTACTAGGTTCCGCAAGAACATAAGTCTCTAATACACTTCTTAGAAGCATACATTATGATGATGTGCGTCACTACGTTGCTTCATGTAATAGGCGTTGTGCTGGAACAGGCTGCAAAAAAATTGATATAGCATTTTTCATATAAAAATGCTTGCACGTCACAATTTATATAAAGTGACGTCACTTTAAAATATCCAGAATATTTAAAATTTCCAGAACGTCAACCTTGGAGTTCAAATTTTCCTAACACAATTAATAATACGAAACCCAGACGGAACTGCTCGATCTTTCATAGGCGTCAACATGGTGTAATAATCAGAAAAATGTAATCATCATTATATTGGAAATTTTAGAATTATATTGATTAAATGACATTTGTTATTATTAATAATGTAAATTTTATGAAATAACTTTTTAAGTTTATATTCCACAAAATAAGAATTTTAATTAAAAAGATTAGACAATTGTAAGAAAACGGGAAAACTTCAACTTTTATTGACAGTTCAGCGTGTGACAAAAGTGTATAAAGTGTTGCCGCTTTTTTAGAGTAAGAATTTTGTTTATGTTTTGATTTCTTACACAATTATACACAATTCTTACACAATATTAAATTTAGATTATTAGCTTTAAAAACTAATTATTGTTGTATATTGTGATTGTGCTATGCCAAAACAAATAAATAGTCTGTAGAAAGCTGCTAAGCTTTAATATAAGATAGATTATTTTGAACAAGAAATAACAGCGGGACGTTTTTACTATTAAAGCCCTAAAAGAGGTAAGGTTAAAATTTAGAATATATAATTTTGTATTAAAATGTTTTCTTATGTATTTTAGTGTGTTGCAGTAGTCTTAAGTGTATTTACTGTTAATATAATAGTTTGACAAATAGTTGACATTTTAAAAATTCCTCACTTACTAACTATTCTGATGTTTTGGCAACGCTGTGGGGTTCTGACGTCGTAAATCTTTAATGACGTCAGCGGCGGCTCGTGGCCTAAAAAAGTGGTAAACACGAGGAAACCTTGCAGGAACCAAAAGGAGTTTTGGTACCTACGTCGCGCCCAAATCTCATTAAAAATTCGTTAAAAAAATGTATAGAGTTTAGGGCTTTAATAACTTGAAAACAGTTTTTTAGGGTACTTATACTAGATACGATTCGTTCTGCTTGTCTGTAGTATTTTAGATCTGAACTTTCGACATTTCATTGAGGGTTTTTTTGGCGATTAAAACACCACACTTGGTAAAACCGGTTTGTTGAGTTTCGATTCAGCCGCCCACTCTGGGTCAGATGCTGATTGCAGCCGATTACTCTCGATCAGACACTGCAATGTTTACTGGTTTTGGTCCGCCCCGAGTATTTCATTTCCCCGGTACCATCTATATCTAGGAGGTATTCCCCTATCCCTAGGAGAGAGAGAGAGAGAGAGAGAGAGAGAGAGAGAGAGAGAGAGAGAGAGAGAGAGAGAGAGAGAGAGAGAGAGAGAGAGAGAGAGAGAGAGAGAGAGAGAGAGAGAGAGAGAGAGAGATGGATAGATAGAGAGAGAGAGAGAGTGGGCTAAAGTGATAGATGTCATAAAAAAATGGACATGTAGCACGTTTAATAGACCTATAAAAGATAAAAGACACCGAGGTAGACTACCAAAAAGATGGATGGATGACTATCTAGTTTTTATAAATCAAGTCGATCCTTCGGTCTTTTAAGGAGGCAAATCTGTCAATAATATCCTCGTAGAAAGGATGCTTCTGCATAAGTTCATTCAACAGTTCTTTATGAATTGCGATAACAGTCAAACTTGATAGTCTATCTTGTGATATAGTTTCTTGTAAAACTTTTTAACCTTGTTAATCACGAAAAACTTCTTCCTATGGATATGCTTGTCGATGGAATTGTCAGAACGAAACAAAACAAATTATAGGCTTCTGCAAAACAATATCTTTAATTGGTTGTAACTTTATAATCAATTCTTGCAAATTCACATTTTTCTAATTTGCGTCGGCATAAAAAAAGCAGAGCTCACTTTTAAGTTCTTGATGTTTAGTAAATTATGTGCCATAAAACTCAAATAAATTTTGAAAAGCGTCGGAAGGAAAGTCAAACTATATGACTCAAATTTTGTTGTATCTGCTAAGCTTACGAATTTTAATTTATCACAATCCTGAAAACGTTTATGCATTTCCATTAAAATATGATAATATATTTCAAAAAGTAATGCTCTGTATTGAGTAGTAATTGCATTCTTGCTCATACCATCATCACACCTAAACCGTTTGGAAGTATTAATGAGCGTCATTGTGCTTGATTTTTCAAAAATAGAATTAAAAAATTCTTCATTTCTTTTATCACTTATTAATTGACGAGTTCTCCTTATCTGGTTTAAACAAAAATTAATATCTAGGGACTTTTTTGAAGAACATCATATAAAATATCTGTTATATAAAAAATGTCGCTAAAAACTATTGCTAAAAATGTGAACTCAAAATCATTTAAATCTCTTAAAAACCCTTTAGCCAGCTGAACTGATTTGCGGTCTGACTCTTCAGAATTCATTATATTATCAAAAACCTCTTTTAATTTTTCCCAGTCTTCAATAATTACACTGATTAATTTTGAATTAGACGACCATCTTGTCTCATGTAATTGTTGGCATACGTCTAGGCGATGTAGATGCAAGAGCGTACGATCGTTTTGCCGAACTATGAAAAAACGATGGGATTCCGGTAATAGTTGCAAAAAAAATTCGACATTTTGATATTTTCTTAAAGCTCTGTTGCAAAACAAGATTAAGCCGATGGGCTAGACAATGCACAAAAATTGCTTGTGGCTCATGTGATTTAATTTTTTGTTGAAGTCCATTTAAGTGCCCTGACATCACACTGACTCCATCGTAACACTGTCCTACAAGCTTATGTCGGTATTCCAAAGGCTCTAAAACTGTCGCAGCCATACTAAACAAATACCTCAGCTGTTCTACCGGTACTTACATCGTAAAATTCCATAAACCTTTCAATTAATAGTCCTTGAGAATTTACGCATCTTAATATTATTAAAGACTGCGAAATTTGCGTTATGTCAGTAGTATCATCAATTTGGAGGGAAAAACTGGACAGTTTTTAATTTCAGTTATAATACTATCATTTATGTAACCCGAATTTACGCATCTTAATATTATTAAAGTCTGCGAAATCTGCGTTACGTCAGTAGTATCATCAATTTGTAGGAAAAAATGGACAGTTTTTAATTTCAGTTATAATACTATCATTTATGTAACTAGAAATGCACTCAATTAATTCATTTTGAATCGTTTTTGATTCTCCACTAAAAGCATTTTTGATTTTTTTGTAATGATTTTAAGTTTCCACTTCATGTCTTTTTGTCCAAACGAAATCCACGAGAACACTTAATATCCGAAATCCGAAACAAACCACAGAAAAATGTATTAATAAAGTGCACTAAACAAATAAACTTAATACTGTGACTAAACTAAACATAAACTATGCTATATAAAAAATATCTATATACTAGACTAAATTTCAAAATATTGTCGCTGAGAGAAATATCCGAAAAATAGGAATACTACATACACATCAACTAGTGGGTGAAGACGGATATTTTTCAATGGATCTGCATCTGCACTTCCCAGTTTTCTCAGCTATCACTAACGACAGGCTGACGTTACGTTGCCATAGCAACCGTGAACGCTTATGCTAATGAATTTCGCATTTCAAAAATGATATTCACCTATTCCGAATCATACACGGCTAGTGACACAGGTCAGGACTTTATCCGGTCATTATCTACCGCTAATAAAGCTAGTTGTCTTTTTTAATTTTTAGATTAATTAGAAACGAATCAATAATTAATTTCAGAATTTATAGATATAATAATGTTTCTTTTATTTTTTATTTATTTGTCTCAATTTAATTATATTTTTTGGTGAACCCCACCTTCACCTACGTTACCTGGCCGACCGCCGCTGAATGACGTGCAAGCATTTTATATGAAAAATGCTATAAAAGCATGGGTTCTAAATGCGGTATAGGACTATACGTTTATGGTTATTATAAGGTATTAAAGACTACCATACGTTGGAATAGATTTGCAGTAATCTTATA